ATCCATCCATCCATCCATCCATCCATCCATCCATCCATCCATCCATCATCTTTACCTGCTTCTTCATTTTCAGGTTGCAGGGGTCACTGGTGCCCATACCCAGCAGTCACTGTGCGAGAGGCGGGGGATACCCTGGACAGGTCCCCAGTCCATCACAGTGACACATGGAGACAAATGAGACAAACAACCATTCACACTCACTCACACCTAGTGACAATTTAGAGTTACCAATTAGCATGATTTCAGATCTAATTTTCCTAATATATCATCTGTTTGTTTGTTTTGTTATTTTTTAAATTTATTACTAATAGTAATTTCTTTTTTGTTTGATTGTTGAATGAAATTTACATAAATTATTAATTCTATTAATTTATTGTATAAAGATTACAAATAGTGTGTGACACAAATCCAGTTGGGCTTGCTGTTAATCAAATAGTTGCTTTGTTGGCTGTGAGCTGTTGCCCGTTTTGGCTGCACTCCTCCACAGTGTCACAGATGCTTTCAGGGGCGGGAGATAGAGTGTGCTCTCTAGATGTTATTTAGCTCTATTCTCTAACTTTAATTAACTATAGACAAGGACCCCAGAATGCATGAGCCATGGTAAACAGGAGCAGGCCTATGAACTTGTGCCTGCTGTGTATCAGCTGGGGTTGGGAAGTGGGGAAAATATGAGATTAAAAGCACCAATTGATCCACCATATTATGAAAGTAAATCGATCCATCCATCCATTCATTATCTTTTATTCGCTTCTTTCATTTTGAGTCACGGGGGTTGCCGGTGCCCATGTCCAGCAATCACTGTGCGAGGTACACCCTGGACGGGTCGCAAGTCCATCCCAGGGCTGAAAGTAAATCCATTTTACTTATTGTACATTTTTATTTTAGTTTCAGTTATTTATCAGTTTTTTGTAATCACTTTTTTGAGCTGGTCCTGATAATGACCCTGAGAAATACTTAAAAGGTAAATTGTTAAAAAATGCAGCAGTGTTGAGAAACAGCAGGCTCAAATCGCAGCAGTGGCAGTCTTAGTGGCACTTCTAGTGTCAGGTGTCACGCTGCATCCAGCTTCACTGGCGTCCTGAGAGACATCACGTCTTTCCTACCACAGATATCATATAAACGCTAGATCCCGCATTGGCTGCTGCGACGCAGGAAATACAGCCGCCATCTTGG